ACTGGGATGGACTGGGAGTCACTGGGAGGCACTGGGATGGACTGGGAGACGCTGGGGTGGACTGGGAGTCATTGGGAGGCACTGGGAGCACTGGGGTGGACTGGGATGGACTGGGATGGACTGGGAGTCACTGGGGTGGACTGGGAGTCACTGGGAGGCACTGGGATGGAGGGGGATGGACTGGGGAGGACTGGGAGGCACTGGGAGGCACTGGGATGGACTGGGAGTCACTGGGGTGGACTGGGGTGGACTGGGATGGACTGGGATGGACTGGGAGTCACTGGGATGGACTGGGAGTCACTGGGAGGCACTGGGATGGACTGGGATGGACTGGGATGGACTGGGAGTCACTGGGAGGCACTGGGATGGACTGGGATGGACTGGGAGTCACTGGGGGGGACTGGTAGTCACTGGGAGGCACTGGGAGGGGGTTTGAAGCACACTGGTCCCTTACTGGGACGAACTGGTGTGAACTGGTGCCCGTGGCTCTGCCCTCCCAAGGGTGGGGCCGGGTGGGCATGGCCTCACCTCGGCTCCGGTGTTCCAATTCCAGCAGTTCCCGGCAGGTCTCCACCTGTTCCCACAGCACCTGGGGGTTGACCACGCACACCTTGGGCCTGAGGGGGCGGGGTTTGGTCAGAAAGGGGCGTGGTTTTGCTAAAAGGGGTGTGGCTTGAGCCTGTATAGGGATAGAAGCAAAGGGAGGCTAAAGGAGGGTCGAGGTGGGCAGGGCTTAATCAAAGGGGTGTGGTTTAGCCATGAGGGGTGTGGGTTAGCAGCAAAGGGACATGGCTTAGTAAGAGAGGGGCGTGGCTTAGCAGCAAATAGGCGTGGTTTAGTCAGAAAGGGGCGTGGCTTGCTCACCCCATAGGGAAACATAAGGGGCGCTGAGGGAAGGTCCAGGTGGGCGGGGCCTCACTGATTGGGCGTGGCTTTCTCCCGGGGGCGGGACCTCATCTAGGGGGCGTGGTTTTCTCCGGGGGGGCGTGGCTTACCCAAACAGCTCCTGGGCCACGATTGGCTTCTGCCACCAGGCCTTGTCCTTGTCTAGGAGAGAAAAGGGGTGTGGCCGCGGTGAAAGGGGGCGTGGCTCAAAGGGGCGTGACAGGGATTGGGCGTGGCTCTCACCTGGCAGCAGCGTCACCTGGCGGTGGGCGGAGTCGGGCTCCCAGGTGACGCCCAGCTGGAGGCGTGGCCGCTCGGTGGGTGGGGCCTCTGCAGGTCGGGGCAGGTCCAGGAGCTTTGATACCTGTCAAGGCGTGTTGGGAGAGCCACGCCCCCATGCCCCGCCCTAAGCCCCGCCCACCCCAGCCCCGCCCTCCTGTTTAGGGGAAAGGATACTCAGGTGTGGCTGGGGCGTGGCCACCCTTCCCCTGAGCGCCACGCCCCTTCCAGGGCGGAGCCATCCAGGGTCGCCGTCAGGTCCGGGCCATCCGGGCTCATCTGGAGGCGCAGAAACGGTTGGGTTTTAACCCAAAATCGGAGCTTTCCCGCTCCCCAAAATGGGCGTTTTTAGCTCCAAAATATTCAGGGTATCAGGTCTACCCGTTAAAGTCAATGGGGTTGAGGGGACAACAGGTCTACCTATAAAAGGCAATGGGGTTGAGGGGACACCAGGTCTACCCATTAAAGACAATGGGGCAAAGAGGACATCAGGTCTACCCTTTAAAGTAAATTGGGACAAACTGGACATCAGGTCTACCTATTAAAGCCAATGGGACAAATGGGACATCGGGTCTACCCATTAAAGTCAATGCGGATCAATAGACGATCAGGTCTACCTATTAAAGTCAATGGGGCCAAGGGGACACCAGGTCTACCCATTAAAGTCAATAGGGATAAATAGGTCATCAGGTCTACCCATTAAAGTCAACGGGACTAATGGGACATCAGGTCTACCCATTAAAGTCAATGAGGCAAACTTCACACCAGGTCTACCCATTAAAGTCAATGGGGATCACTGGGCCATCAGGTCTACCCATAAAGTT